TACATCATCCTCATCATGAGCTTTATCATTTTTTTCACAAACAACCTTGACAATATAACCACCGACAAATAAGTTAAGTCATAATTTTTTACAACTACTCACACACCACACACACACATACACACACACACACACACACACACACACACATATATATATATATTTATATATATATATTTACAATATTCTATAAATTCTACCGAATGCATTCGGTAGAATTTATAGAATATTGTAAAAATTATGGTCTATTACCAACATATATATATATATATATATATATATACATACACACATACATACCCATACATATACACGCACACAAACATATGTAACTTTCGACTAGACATATACACACACATACGTACACACACACACAACACACACAAACTTATAAAGATAGAAAATGGGTAAAATATGCACACATATAAACACATACAATAACACGCATATAGGCATACAAACACATGTTTTGACCTTCAAGTTTACTATTTATAAGACAAGGCAAAATGAGGGTTAACAATTACAATAATAACACATGAACAAACACATGGTCATTATTATTATTATTATTATCATCATCATTATCATTATTATCATTATACTAATTATTATTATTATTTATGACGTAATTATTATTATTTATTATAATAATATTTGTATTATTATTATTCAAATTATTCTTGTTGGCGTTTAATTCATTCATTATACCCATCATGTGCGTAAGAGTTCTTGACAAGTATATGATTGCATTTACGCTTGTGTGTAAGCTTTTGTGTTTGTGTTTATGTGTGTGTTTACTTGTGTATGTATATGTATGTGTGAATGTGTGGTGTGTGTATGTATATAGGTATGTGTATGTATATAGGTATGTGTAGGTATGTATATGTTTATAAATATGTTTGTGTGCTTTTGTGTGCGCGCGTGTGCGTGTGTGTGTGCGTGCGTGTGTGCGTGCGTGCGTGTATATAAGTATGTCAGTTTTTAAGGTCATCATTTCATTTCTCTGCCTTGAAGAGATTAGTGTGAGAATTGTTGGCATATGTGTTAATATTATAAATAGCATAAATTCATATTTGTGTATTTGCGCGTATGTGTGTATGTTTCTTAATTAACAAGAGGTTCTTTTTACGTGTGTATGTGTTTGTGTGTGTATGTGTTG